CCGGCTCAGGCCACCCAGGGCCCGACGACGCGGCCGCCACCGAGCTCCACAGCAGCCCCAGGAGGACGAGCAGTCCCCGGGGGGAAGCCTTGGGCACCGCCGCGCACCACATGGTTGCTTGTCCAGCTGCCGCCAGGCTCACCTTTGCTCTGTTTGTCCGGCCAGCCCAGCCCCTGTTCTGGGAATCCAACAGGACTTCCACCTGGCCCTCTTCTGGTCAGGGCCGGGTCACTGCAGGACGGGGAGCTGGAGCCGGGTGACGACAGCCTGGGGCGGCCTTCTGGATGTGCCTTTGGTACCCTGGATCTCTGAGCTTCCTTCCCCAGGGTGGCCTGTGAGGTCAAGGTAGACCTGGGTCCCCCTGATGACATGAACGGTGAGGGTCCCGGAGGAGACACAGCCAACAGGGCTGGGAGCCTCATCCCAAGTCCTTTATTGACTGATTGATTTGTTTGAGAAAGGGTCTCACTATGTTGCTCAGGCTGGCCTTGAACTCATAGGGATTCTCCCACCTCAGTTTCCTGAGTGGGCCCCTCCCCACCTGGCTTGATTTATTTTTGAGATAGGATTTTCACTGAGTCACTACATTGCCCGGGCTAGGTTTAAACTTGCCACCCTCTTGCCTCAGCCTCCTAGTGTCTTGGGATTGCAGGAATGTGCCACTGTGCCCAGCCTTAATGTAATCTCAGCACTCAGGAAGCTGAGGCAAGAGGATTGCTGTGAGTTAGAGGCCAGCCTGAACTGTGTAGCAAGATTTTGTTTCAAAAAACCAAAACAGGGCCAGGGATGTAGTTCAGTGGCACCGTGCCTGCCTGGCGAGCCCAAGGTCCCAAGTTTGATCCACAGTACCAAAACAAACACAAAACAAAAAATCAACCAAAATAAAAAAATAGCATTTAAAAAAGGGTGGGGAGATAGCACAGTGGTAGAAAGCTTGCTTACCTTGCATGAAGCCCTGGGTTCAATCCTTAGCACAGAAATGACAAGCAAGAGCAAGATTTTTTTTTTTTCCAGTACTGGGGATTGAATTCAGCACCTTGTGCTTGAGAGAGAGGTGTGCTGCCACTGTGCTAAATTCCTGGCCCTAAATATTTTATTTTTTAAAATAACTATCCAGGCTAGGTATGTTGATATCTCAGTACTCTGGGAGGCGGAGGCAGGAGGATCACAAGTTCAAACCCAGCCTGGGCTACATGGCAAGACCTTGTCTGGAAACCAGTACTGGATTGAATTCAGCACCTTGTGCTTGAGAGAGAGGTGTGCTGCCACTGTGCTAAATTCCTGGCCCTAAATATTTTATTTTTTAAAATAACTATCCAGGCTAGGTATGTTGATATCTCAGTACTCTGGGAGGCGGAGGCAGGAGGATCACAAGTTCAAACCCAGCCTGGGCTACATGGCAAGACCTTGTCTGGAAAAAAAAAGCATTTATAGAACAACAAAAAAGTCTCAATAATGAAAAAAGTCTATGAAATGTTTGAGAGATAAGATGAAAGACATTTTCCAGAAAACAGATCAGAAAAGGACACATCCACCTAAATAAAAACAAACCTTCAGTTTGCGGATTTAGCTCAGTGGTGCCACCACCTGCCTCACAAGTGCAAGTTCCTTCGATCCCCCCCACCATACCAAAACAAACAAAAAGCAAAGCTTGAGGGCAGTGGTGTAGCTCATGGCACATCCGCCTAGCACACAGGGGGCCCCCTGGCTCAGACCACTGCAGGGAACAGCCTGATGCGAGTCCCCAGCAAAGCTTGGGTGCATTAAGGAAGCTGAGCGGTGGGCAGATTGAAGACAGCAAGGAAGACAGTTACATTAGATAAAAGTACAACCACCCTTGGCTACGGTGATTAATAACAAGTGCAACCTCCACCTGAGATTGGAGTTTCTGGCAGAGGTCCTGGTGGGAGTGTTTTGTGTAAACTTGTGGTAGCCCTTTATGCAAGCTTGTGGTTTTGGCAGAGGTTGTGATTGTCACTATTAGGCAGTTGTGCATAAGAATGCTTCCTTCCTTGTTTCTGAGACAGTCTCACTACGTAGTCCAGCCTGGCCTTGAACTCACAGCGATTCTCCTGCCTCAGCCTCCTAAATGCTGGGATTTCAGGCATGCGCCACCACACCCGGCACACATGACAGATTTAAAGAATCTTGAGTCAGCTGGGTTTGGTGAACTATATAGTGAGGCCCTGTCCCCACCCCCCAAAAAAAGGATAAACTACTTTCTTGTAAAGCAGTAATTTTTGGCCCCCCTAGTACATATGGGGTGTGTTCTACCCAAGAAAAGGGGACAAGAAGGGAAGACCTGGCTCCCAGATAACAGTTTGGCTGGGCATTGGAAGGTCCTGTACACATCGCCCAGGGACTGGAAAGTGATGGTCCACTTGCTGAGCACAGAGGTTTTAAGAGGTGCCATCAAGCCAGGTGTGAAGCCTGTAATTGAAGCACCAAGGAGGCTGAGGCAGGAGGAGCCCCCCCATGAGTTCAAGCCCAGCCTGAACCACACAGTGAGACCACGCCTCAATAATAAAACAGGAGCTTCAATAATAGCTTTCACAAAATATGAAGTTTGGGGCTAGTCAGTGACAAATTTATTGAAAACTAAGAAAATGAAACCAAGTGACCCCCCGAACTCGACTGAATCCTGGTGGTGGACACAGCTGCAGCCAGGGCATCTGGTGCTCGTGGGCTGTGGCCACACAGTGACAGTGCAGACCAAGTCACCAGCCGAACCACACTTGTTTACGGCCAAGGAGTGCGGGGTTGGTGGCGGGCAAAACGCAGCCCTGGCAGGACATAGGGCACAACCTAAGGTGGCACCCGAGGCTGGGGACACCAGCTGGGCATCTTCAGTCCTCACCCTGCTACCCAGCGGCAGCAGCAGGCCCAAGAGCTGCCCCAAGTTGGACAGCAAAGGAAGCACCAAGTTGCCTTTTTATTTTTTGGAGACTGAACCCAGGACCTTTGAACTGAGCTGTCTCTGGAGCTTTTCAACATCTGAAGACAGGATCTTGCTAAGCTCCCCGGGCAGGGCTTGAGTTTATGATCCTCCTGCCTCAGCCTCCCAAGGAGCTGGGATCACAGGTGCGCACCATACCTGGCCAGATGCCCTCTGACAGGCTGTCAGCCAGGATTCCAGTCCCCTCCTTGGGTTTGTGGCCCTGGTGGGATAGCTCGTTGGACCAGGGAGACAAGTTTATTGTAAAGGACACAGAGGGCATGAGGCAGGCACAAGACCTACCAGGGGAGCCTCAGCAGCGGGGCGGTCAGGTCTCTGAGCAGAAGAGATCACATAACTCAGGAGGCTGAGGCGGGAGGATCCAAATTTCAAGGCCAGCCTTGGAAATTACCAAGATGCCATCTCAAAATAAAAAATAAGTAGGACTGAGGCTACAGCTCAGTGGGAGAAGCCCCTAGGTTTCACTTGCAGCACACATGCCCTTGTGTGTACACGCACAGCTGCTTCTGCCTCAGGGGCAGGGCCATGTCTGCAGTGCTCACCGAGATGTGGGCCAGGCTCACTGGAGGCAGTGACCTCACTACAGGCTGAGGAGCGGCTACCGTAGGCTTCTAATGGAAGCTTTCTGAGGAAGGTGCACTGCCCCCACTGGTAAGACAGGCTGCCAGCTAGGGCTGGGTGGCTCCGGGCCCCAGGCCATCCCTACCCACCCAGTGCTCCTGGCCTCCAGATAGCTGTGCCTGGGGCTTGGTCCTGGGCAGGGCTGACAGGACGCCCTGCTGGGAGCCAAAGCCCCACTGGGGTAGGTGAGTGGGGGTAGCTGCGTGGCCACGGCAGGGCCGTCACCCCACCTGCGTGGCATTAGCAGTGCCTTCCACACAGGTAGCTGTGATGACCTGAATCAGGGTGCACGGTTTGGGGCTGGAGCCCGGCCTGGGTGGCCTCGAGACACAAACACCAGCCTTCTGGGACTTCCGGTGAGCTGGAGGCTGTGCCAGGATCTGCTGAGACCGGGAGATGCCAGTGCAGGGCTGTCCACTCCTGCTGCCAAGATTGTCCAGGCTTGGGGGCAAGGAGGAGGGCTGGGGTCACACCACCGCCAAGGTCAAAGGGCTGGAGGTGCTTGGAGACCGCAGAGCTGTGGGCGGGGCCTGGGCAGCAGCGGCTGGACCTGGCTCCCCACTCTGTTGCTCCTGGAAGCCCGGAATCAGTCCCACCGAGACCGTGGCACCCAGGTAAGGTGGGGTCTTCCTCTCACCCTGCCCACCCCAACCGTCAGCATCTGCCCAGGGCAGGGAGTTGGTAGCGTTGGCTTCTGCAAGGAGCAGGTGTTTTCCCTGCTGTCCCTGAGTCAGGAGTGGCTGGAGGCCTCCCCTCTCCACACCTGCACTGGGCCAGGCTGCAAGGTCCTGGTGACAAGGCGGTCATGAGGCACCCAAGGCAAGGAACCTGCAAGTTCAGCACCTTGGAGAGGGGACAGCCCTGTGCCCAGGAAGTGCAGGCCTGGCTGCAGCTCATGGGGAGCAGAAGAGCTCTGCAGGGCACAGCAGGTGGCCTGGACTTAGCAGAGGCTACCCCGCCCCCCCCCAGCTCCAGACACATTAACAGGCCCCAGGGACTCTGCCATACCCCAGCTGTCTCTGGGTCCCCCCTGTCCTGTGGAGGCCCAACTTCTCTCTAGCTCACACCCACCCCCCAGCACCAGGGCACCAATGGCCAGTGGCCCCCAGGACAGACGGACTTGGGCTGATGGGGTGACTGCCGTAGCCTTCCATGTCCAAGGCCCTGGGCTGGCCCCGTGTGATGGGAGGAGGGCCCTGGAGACCCTCACACCCAACAGTGGCCAGCAATAGCTCATGTGGCTTCTGCTGGGACCAGCGAAGGTCAGGGGACAGGACTGCAAGCTTTGTTATAAATACTTGTTTGCTGAGGGGCAACAGGGCAGACGGTGCTGTACAGAGCTGGACACCGGAGAGGACAGACATGTGGAGTGTGCCCAGCAGGGCTGGGGGTGGCATCCCAGGGCCTGTCAGACATGGCCAAGGGGCGAGAGCCGGCAGGGGTCTGGTCCAGGCTGGGGGGACCCCGACACCCCGGAGGCTCCCTGGTCCAGCCCAAGGTCTGGGACGGTGGCATGGCGGCACCGGGGCTCAGCTGGCATCGTTCAGGGCCTGGTGGGACATGAGGGCGGTCAGGACGCTCGGGACGTGGGGGCAGAGCTGGCACCAGGGCAAGCGGGGTCCCGCCACCCAGTTGGTGGCCACGCACCTTGCGGGCGAACTCGGGCAGCACGAAGGCAGCACGGTGCACCTCGGCATTGTAGTACTTCAGCTGCCTCTGCTCCACCTGTGCCTGCGTCAGCTGCTGCACCGGCTCCTGGAAGATGGTGCTCTGGGGGACCCAGGATGGGGTGGCATCAGGGCAGGGCCGTCTGCGCCCCCCATGCCTGGCCCCCGGGCAGCACCCAGCTCACCGGGTTCTTGCTGCACAGCATGAAGCCGATCTGGCCGCTGGGGTAGGTGGGGATGGTGCAGTAGGCATAGCCCACCACAGGGAAGAGGGACCTGCAGAACTGTCGCATCGACTTGATGAGGTCTAGGTGCAGCCACTGGCACTCACCTGGGGGGAGTGGCAGCATCAGCCTCAGCTGCCTGTCCCGTGCCCGGCACCTACCCTGGCCGGCACTCACCCTGGCAGCAGAGGATGCCGTCCTCCTTCAGAGCTGTCTTCATGAGCTGGTAATAGGACTCCTTGAAGAGGCTCTCAGCAGGGCCTTCAGGGAGGGGGACGAGAACACGCCCCGGCTGAGACCCCACAGGGACTGGAGCAGATGCCCCACATCCAAATCCCGCTTCTGGGAGATTCCCTGGCACCACAGCAGAGCAGCCCCCACCCCGGCCTTGGTTCAAGACTAGAACCATCCCCACGCCCAAGCCGGCCTGTGGGAGCAGAGAGCAGAGGGAAAGAGAAGAGGAAATGAGGCCCCAGGGTCAAGATCAGATTCCCATGCTTCTCAGGTACCCAATTTTTTTTTGCGGGGGCGGTATTTAAAGAGACAGGATCATGCTGTATAGCCCAAACTGGCCTCAAACTCATGGTGATCCTCCTGAGTCAGCCTCCTGAATGCTGAGACTACAGGTGTGCACCACCACACCCAGTTCCAATTTGTGAATTTAGCAGGGCGTGGTGGTGCATGCCTGTAATCCCAGCACTTGGGAGGCTGAGGCAGGAGGATCGCTGTGAGTTGAGACCAGCCTGGGTCATATAGTGAGTTCCAGGTCAGTCTCAACTACTAGTGAGACCAAAAACAAAAATTTGTGAACTTAGGAGAGCAGCCTGGTCTCTTCCCTCCTGTCCTGAGTCTTGCTGGAGGGATGACAGCTCTAGTTTTGGGGAGCCCTCCATCCTCTAACCCAGAGAGCAGCCCTCACTTACCCATGGGGTCCGAGGAGTCGGTGATGATGACGTCGAAGGCATCCTGGTTCTGTTTCATGAACTCAAAGCCATCACCCACGTGCAGGGTCAGCTTTGGGCTAGAGTAGCCAACGGCCATGCCCGGCAGGAACTTCTTAGAGACTTGGATGACATCCTGGAGAGGGTCTGGAGGGATCAGGCTGGGTCTCCTTCAGGGCCTGTGCCCCCTCCCTCCCCTCTGCCCCTGGGGACAGAAGCCAGGGCACTTTGCAGGCCAGGCAAGCGCCCCACCCTTTTCATCCTGAGACCAAGTCTTGGAAGTTGCCGTGAATTTGATGCCTCAGGAATGGCTGGGCCACAGGTATGGGTCATTGTGCCTGGCTTCTCCCCACCCTTCCTCATCTGCGGCACCTGTCAATCCTTATGGGTCACCTTGTGATATGCCCCCAAATTTAGATCATCTCCAAGGGCAGGGCCGATTCTACCCACCACCATAACCCCCAGCACCTGGACCAACACCTGACACAGTAAACATTCTAAGCACTACAAATGCTTAGGTAAAAGCCGGGCGTGGTGTCGCATGCCTATAATCCCAGCACTTAGGAGGCTGAGGCAGGAGGATCACTATGAGTTGAGACCAGCCTGGGCTACATAGTGAGGTTCAGGTCAGTCTCAACTACGTGAGACCCTGCCTCAACATCCCCCCCAAAATTAAAATAAATAAATAAAAATGCTTAGGTAAAATGGGCGAGATGGCACTGCCCGTAATCCCAGGTGTCTTGGAGGCTGAGGTAGGATCACAAGTTTGAGCCCAGCCTTGACAACTTAATGACATAACAAGACTATGTCCCAAAATAAAGAAGGATAACAGGCCAGGGATTTAGCTCAGCAGCACTACACCTGCCTTGTAAGCACAAAGCCCTAAATTTAATTCCAGATACCAAAAAAAAAAAAAAAAAAAAAAAAAAAAAAGATACGTGTAGCTCAGGGGAAGGCCCTGGGTTTAGCCCCTCCACCCCACTACGGGGGGAGGGTCTATCTTAGTGTAAATGGTAGATATCCTAGCGGTTGGAAATGTACCTGAGCCCTGCCTGGGGCTTAAATTAGAAATGAGGTCTTTTCTTACTAAGAATTAGCATCTATGTGCACCATATGCCAGGCCTTCTACCATCTTGTTTTGCTACTGGGTCCTGCTACTGGGTCCTGCCAACACTGTTCTTTCTTTGAAAACTAGGGATTGAACACAGGGTGTTAACACTGACCTACCTCCCCAGCCACTCCTATATCCCTCTTTTTAAAGTTCTGAGACAAGATCTTGGTAAATCGTTGAACTGCCCAGACTGGGTTTGAACCTGCAATCCTCCTGCCTCAGCCTCCCAGAGTGCTTGGATAGGCCTGTGCCACCTCACTGGGCTTCAGCGTTGGTTTTTCGGATGAGCAAACACCCAGGAGAGCCAAGCGTCTTGCCCTGGGTGCAGGGCAGAACTCACCTCGTCAATCTCGCACTGGACTACAGACTCCACCGAGGGGTGCTTCACCACCTCACGCAGGACGCCCCCGTCTCCTCCCCCGATGATCAGCACCTGGGGTGGAGGGACTGTCAGGCGCAGGTCCAGGCTTCCGTCGCTGTGCCCCGGGGCGGCCTCAGGCCCTCTTTCTTCATTTTCTCCGCTCAGATGGGGCCCGGGGTTCCCTCCCTCTTCCTGAGAGCCCTTCCCAGAGCTGCGGAGCTCCAGGCGCGGCCGGCCGAGGAGAACCTGTCAGGCCTGCCCCGAAGCCCAGTCCTCGCCAGCTCTGGCAGCCTCCAGGTGGAGCCCGGCGCGCAGTACCTTGCGGGGGTTGGGGTGGCTGCACAGCGGCAGGTTGGCGATCATCTCTTGGTAGGAGAACTCGTCCCGCTCCGTACACTGGATGACGCCATCCAGCACCAGGACGTTGCCGTAGGTCTTGCTGCGGAGTGACAGCGGGGACCTGGGTCCTCCGGGGTGGGGGGAAAGCGGCCCGCTCCGCCGAAGGGCCCGGGG